CAGGCTGTGTCCTTTAGTTCAGTCCTTGACCTTCAGAAGAAATCTGTGTAAAATGGAATATTCCATTCAATGATGGAGATTTTCCTCCTATCAATCATTTTTTTCTTCCTCTAATAGAATTCTACACTTTCATTTTTCTGATGCTTCCTGCCTGTGACAATTCCATAGTGATTGCAAGGCAGGAAACAATCATCCTCACCAACTGCATAAAACTCCAGGATTTCTCTTCTGCAGCCTCTTTCGCTCTTGTTTCTCGTTTGGAAAATGCTTCCTGAGTCTTATCTCCAGTAGGCTGGTTTTTTTTGGCAGGCTTTTTAGTTAGCTGTTTCCCACTTCTGGTGCAATGACGTGCTGGAATTTGAATCCTCTTCCAGGGGTCTCAGAGAGTCCTACTGACAGGTCACAGGCTATCTCTCCTCAAGATTTCACCCCTGCCAGCCAGTCTTGTCCTGGTGTAGTGGATTTGAATGCAAGATCTGCTATTCCTATCCTTAATTGGCTAGAATATAGGTCATAGTTTTTTTAGGCTAAGGAATTTCTGACTAATTTCTAACACTCCTCTCTATTATTTATTTTTAAGTTCTTTTTAAACTTCCATATTGTTTTAAATACTGAATTTGTTTTTGTTTTTTCTTTCTCCCTTTTTTTTCCCCCGGATACTCTTTTTTTTTTTTTAGACAAAGTCTTACTCTGTTGCTCAGGCTGAGCGATCTTGGCTCACTGCGATCTCTGCCTCCTGGGTTCAAGCAATTCTACCACCTCAGCCTCCCAAGTAGCTGGGATTACAGATGTGCGCCACCACACCCAGCTAATTTTTATATTCTTAGTAGAGATGGGGTTTCACCATGTTGGTCAAGCTGGTCTTGAACTCCTGACCTTAGGTGATCTACCCAAAGTGCTGGGATTACAGGCGTGAGGCACTGTGCACTTACCTGCAGTCATTCTTGGTCCTAAAATATTAAATGGAGAATTCCAGAAGTAAACACTTGATAAGTTTTTTTAAATTTGTTTTGAAATGGAGTTTTGCTATGTTCCTTAGGCTGGAGTTCAGTGGCGTAAACTCGGCTCACTGCAACCTCTGCCTCCCAGGTTCAGGTGATTCTCCTGCTTCAGCCTCCCGAGTAGCTGGGATTACAGACACATGCCACCATGCCCGGCTAATTTTTTGGTATTTTTAGTAGAGATAGGGTTTTACCATGTTAGCCAGGATGGTCTCAAACTCCTGACCTTGTGATCCACCCGCCTCAGCCTCCCAAAGTGCTAGGTTTACAGGCGTGAGCCACCGCACCAGGCCCAATAAACACTTGGTAAGTTTTAAATTGCATGAAGTTCTGAGTAGCATAATAAAATCTCATGTCATCCTGCTCCATCCTGCCTGTGATGGGAGTCATCACTTGTTCTAGTGCAGCCCTGGTATATACCCTCCACACCCCTGAGTCACTTAATAGCCATCTCAGTTATCAAGTCAATTGTTGTGGTATCACAGTAATCCTTATTTTACTTTATAATGGCCCCAAGATGCAAGAGTAGTGATGCCAGCATATTGTTATGCTTATTTTATTACTAGTTATGATTAGTTTTATTATTAGTTATCTTACTTTGCCTAATTTTTTTTTTTTTTGAGACAAAGTCTCCCTCTGTCACCCAGGCTGGAGTGCAGTGGCTCAATCTCGGCTCACTGCAACGTCTGCCACCTGGGTTCAAGCAATTCTCCTGCCTCAGCCTCCTGAGTAATGGAGATTATGGCTGCCTGCCACCATGCCCAGATAATTTTTGTATCTTCAGTAGAGATGGCGTTTCACCATGTTGTCCAGGATGGTCTTGAACTCCCCTCAAGTGATCTGCCTGCCTCAGCTTCCCAAAATGCTGGGATTACAGGCGTGAGCCACCATGCCTAGCTTCGTGCCTAATTTATAAATTAGACTTTATCATAGTTATTTATAAGAAAAAAGCATAGTATACGTAAGGTTCAGTACTATCTGCAGTTTCAGGCATCTCCTGGGGTCTTGGAAGTATCCTCCCAAATAGTAAGCTCTACTGTATTGTATGACTTTGCTTATTAGTTTCAGATGCAAAAGTAAGTGTATTAAAGAGATTATCTTTAATAAATATTTAGAAGTTTTTAAGAACAGGCATTTCATTTTTAGACTCATAGCTGGAAGTGACCTTAGAGGTCAGATCATGGGGTATAACCTTATTTTGCAGATGATGAAGCTGGTGTCCTAGGTGTATAAATGACTTTCTCACATTCATACAACTGGTAAGTGACAGAATGAGGATGAGGCAGGGTCTTCGTCGTAAGACTCCCAGCACTTTTCTATTACATTGAATTTTGTATACATGTTATCTCTCCCCAAAGTCGTAAAGTTAATGAAAGACAGAAGTCATATCCATTTATCTAAATTTTTTTAACCTTTTTTTTTTTGAGTTGGAGTCTTGCTCTGTCACCCAGACTGGAGTGCAATGGTGCGATCTCGGCTTGCTGCAACCTCTGCCTCCTGGGTTCAAGCAATTCTCCTACCTCAGCCTCCCGAGTAGCTGGGATTACAGGTGCATGCCACCAAGCCCAGCTAATTTTTATATTTTTAGTAGAGACAAGGTTTCACCATATTGGCCAGGCTGGTCTGGAACTCCAGACCTCATGATCCACCCACCTCAGCCTCCCAAAGTGCTGGGATTACAGGTGTGAGCCACTGCAGCTGGCCTTATCTCAATTTTTATGAAAGATAAAAAATTACAATGCCTGGGAAATACAGCTGCCAAACAGCAGATGCTTAGTTAATTCTCTTTGAATTGAGTTCTTACCTAATGAAACATTCTTCTTGGTCTCATGTTCATGAGAAGCCGCTCTATTCATTGAGTATTTAATGATGTCTTACTTTGTGCCAAGTACCAGACTAAGATAAAAAATGAGAATTAAAATGAAGATCTCCTTTCAGTTTTGGGTCTATATTAAAATATTACTGTGGGGTTGTTAAATTTCTCAATTAGAAAGGGAAGAAAGTGAATTTTCAACTGAGCTACTTCCCTTTTACAGACTCATTTGCATTTCCTAAAATTCTAGTGCTAACAGGAACTTAGGTTACCTAAGATCACATTATCAGTAATGGCAAATCAAGGATGAGAATGAACATCAGCTCCCTCAAAATCCAATACACCTTCTGTTACAAAGAATCCCTTTCTTTTGCATTTTTGGAATAACATATACAGGAGTTAAATTCATGAGTGTTAATAAAATGGAAATCCATGTCTCTTCTGGATCAGATATCAAAATACCTGAAGAGGGATATGGAAAGAAAGTGGGTTGGGAGAACAGAGCCATTGATTCATAGTCAAAAGAACAGAAGATGCCCTAATCATCTGTGTCGAATTATGGAATATTACAGGTGCGCCCCACCACAAATGGCTAATTTTTGTATTTTAGTAGAGATGAGGTTTTGCTATGTTGGCCAGGCTGCTCTCCAACTCCTGCCCTCAAGTGATCTGCCTGCCTCAGCCTCCAAAGTATTGGAATTACAGGCGTGAGCCACTGTACTCAGCCTAAATTTAAAAAAAAAATTTTTTTTTTTTTAATTTTAGACAGAGTTTCAAAATTGTTGCCCAGGATGGAGTGCAATGGCGCAATCTCGGCTCACTGCAACCTCTGCCTCTGGGGTTCAAGCGATTATCCTGTCTCAGCCTCCCAAGTAGCTGGGATGACAGGCATGTGCCACCACGCCTGGCTAATTTTGTATTTTTAGTAGATATGGGGTTTCACCATGTTGGTCAGGCTGGTCTTGAACTCCTGACCCCTGGTGAACTGCACACCTCAGCCTCCCAAAGTGCTGGGATTCCAGGCATGAGCCACCATGCCCAGCCTAAACATTTTTTAATTTAAAATATAACAGAGACAGCTGGGTGTGGGGGCTCACACCTGTAATTCCAGCACTTTGGGAGGCCGAGGTGAGAGGATCATGAGGTCAAGAGATTGAGACCATCCTGACTAACACGGTGAAACCCCGTCTCTACTAAAAATACAAAAAATTAGCCCAGTGTGGTGGCACACACCTGTAGTCCCAGCTACTTGAGAGGATGAGGCAGGAGAATCGATTGAACCTGGGAGGTGGAGGTTATAGTGAGCCGAGATCACACCACTGCACTCCAGCCTGGGTGACAGAGCAAGACTCCATCTCAAAACCAGACAAAACAAAAAAAGCAACAACAGAGGCAGGGTCTCGTTATGTTGCCCAGGTTGGTCTCGAACTCCTGGGCTCAAGCTATCTGCCTACCTTGGCCTCCCGACGTGCTGGGATTACAGGTGTGAACCACTATGCCCAGCCAAAAATATGTTTTGACTCTGCACTTTCATCCTTGGATAGCAATGTACTTTGTAAACATGTACTGGCTATTATCTAACCTTGTGTCTTAAAGGCATAGACTGTCATTTCTTCATCTCACAGAGGAATGAACTCAGTTCCAGAGAGTTTTGGAGAATTATCTCAGCATAGTTTGTAAGTATGACTAAGCCAAGCAAAATTTAAGCCTAGGAGCTTAAATTCCTAATAAGGATTTGGCCACCTTGATGTGATCTGGGAATCTGGGAGTTGTGCAATCCTTACGATTTGTTTCAGCTCTCAAGCAAGCACTGAGAAGGCTACCCTTCATTAAACTCTGTCTGGCCTTTTGCTGGGTTAGCTTATTTAATCCTCCCAGCAAATATTTCCCCATTTCTCAGATAAGGAAATCGTTTCAAAGAGGTTAAGTAACGTCTGCAAATTCACGTACTTATAGTAAAAGGCAGAGTCAGAATTCAAACCTTTCTTTCTGACTTCTTGAGTTCATGAGCTTGATTGAAACTGTGAAATTATAAATTTGGAGATCTGGGCTCTAGGCTGATTTTGCCATCTAACTGAAACAACACTGAGGAAAAACTAAGGAAGCCCATGACTGAGCAGAGGTCCAGCCCCTCTGCTCAGTCATGGGCTTCCTTAGTTTATTCACTACCTCACAGGGGGGCACAAGTGGATCCATGTAGTAGGCCTCCTGACTTCATCTTTCTTCCCTGCATAAATATCATTCATTTGACCATTTTATATGGCACCATATGCTAGAGCAATGACAACATTTGATAAGTTGTTTTGAAAAATTGAAAGATTAATGCTGTTAAGAATCAGTCCAACCTTAGTTCTCTTTCCCATCTTGCAAGATGGTGGTGAAAAAGTTGAGAAGTCGGATACTAAAGAGAAGAAACCTGAAGCCAAGAAGGCTGATGCTGGTGGCAAAGTGAAAAAGGGTACCCTCGAGGCTAAAAAGCCCAAGAAGGGGAAGCCCCGTTGCAGCCACAATCCTGTCCTTGTCAGAGGAATTGGCAGGTACTCCCGATCTGCCATGTATTCCAGAAAGGCCATGTACAAGAGGAAGTACTCAGCCGCTAAATCCAAGGTTGAAAAGAAAAAGGAGAAGTTTCTTGCAACTGTTACAAAACCAGTTGGTGGTGACAAGAATTGCGGTATTGGGTGGTTAAACTTCGCAAAATGCCTAAGTATTATCCTACTGAAGATGTGCCTCGAAAGCTGTTGAGCCACGGCAAAAAACCCTTCAGTCAGCACGTGAGCAAACTGTGAACCAGCATTACCCCCGGGACCATTCTGATCATCCTCACTGGGCGCTGCAGGGGCAAGAGGGTGGTTTTCTGAAGCAGCTGGCTGGTGGCTTGTTACTTGTGACTGGACCTCTGGTCCTCAATCAAGTTCCTCTATGAAGAACATACCAGAAATTTGTCATTGCCACCTCAACCAAAATTGATATCAGCAATGTAAAAATCCCGAAACATCTTACTGATACTTACTTCAAGAAGCAGCAGCTGCGGAAGCCCAGACGCCAGAAAGGTGAGCTCTTCAACACAGAAAAAGAGAAATATGAGATTACAGAGCAGCACAAGATTGATCAGAAAGCTGTGGACTCACAAATTTTACCAAAAATCAAAGATTTCCTCAGCTCCAGGGCTACCTGCGATCTGTGTTTGCCCTGACAAATGGAATTTATCCTCACAAATTGGTGTTCTAAATGTCCTAAGAATCTAATTAAATAATTGATTACCTTTTGGGGAAAAAAAAAGAATCAGTCAAAACTGAATGTTTTTCATATGTAGAAATAATCTACTTACATGGAAGAGGCCAGAGGAAAAAAATATATAAAAATACAAGTAAAATTGAGATAATCCAGAGAGATAATTTACCAGTCACTTGTCTATCTCCTAAATCTCATCAAAAGGGCTTCTGTAAACTGGTGAGAGGATGTTGAGGGGGAATTGCCTGGAGGGAGATGACTTAAAAGGAGACTTAAAAGGCTTATGCACTGTCATGGTGGCTCAGGCCTGTAATCCCAGCACTTTGGGAGGCCGAAGTGGGTGGATCATGAGGTCAGGAGTTTGAGATCAGCCTGGCCAATATGATGAAACCCCGTCTCTACTAAAAATACAAAAATTAGCTGGGTGTGGCGGCAGGCGCCTGTAATCCCAGCTACTCAGGAGGCTGAGGCAGGAGAATCGCTTGAAACAGGGTGGGGAGGGGGTGGCAGAGTTTGCAGTGAGCTGAGATCGTGCTGCTGCACTCCAGCCTGGGAAACAGAGCAAGACTCTGTCTCAAAAAAAAACAAAAAACAAAACAGGAATTCAGAGGGACCTGAGGATGAGGAGCTAAGTGTAAGTGTATGTGGGGGTAGGGCAAAGATGGGGATGGTGGGGAGTTAGACCAGGGGAGGAAAAGGAGGAAGGAGAGAGGCTTTCTCTTTTCTGCAGCTCCTTGGCCTGGCTGCTCTGCCCATAGCAGCTCTTGCATGTATCTTAGGGCCTTTTCACATTCCAGGAGCTGGCAGTGCCCTCAGCCAGGTATAGAGCCCTGTTGGGTGGGTTGGTTTGTCTTTTACCCCCTTTTGTTTTGTTTTTTTTACTTTTTAAAAATATATAGAGAGATGGGGTTCTCCATGTTGGTCAGGCTGGTCTCGAACTCCCGACTTCAGGTGATCCTCCCCCTTTTGAATAGCAACTCCCTTTGGCAGGCTGATGCCTTGGAGAACATCATTGTATGTACTTCACGCCAGACACGACAACGTTTTCAAACTGCAGGCTCCTGGACACTGAGCCTCCTGCCTTCTCAGATGAAAACTTCTTTTCATATTTCAGCAGGTCATTCACAGTCCCCACTTCATTCAGCCTCCATGGATGCTGCTGCCCCCAAGTTCTCCTAATGCCACATCCCCAGCACTCTGTCTCTCTGACTCATTTATTCTAGTTTAGTTTTAGTTTTTTTTTTTAAATCAAACATTGTTTATTACATATTTATTACACAATGATGGGCTGTTACTGATACTCGTGATAGTAGGATTCCTGGTAACAAGCATGGGCACCAGGGCTTCCAAACTTTCTGGATTTGCAGCAACAGGGGTCAGCCACTAACAGAGTCCAGTCATACAGGATGAGGACATCTTTGACCTTCTTGGAAGCCACTTCCACATATTTCTGGTAATAGGCCACCAGGGCTTTGGAGATAGACTGACAGATAGCATAAATCTGGGCCACCTGACCATCACCCTTCACTAAGACATGTATGTCCACGACAGCAAATCACTCCTTGCCCAGAAGCAGACTGGTTTCAGCAGCTTGTACTGCAGCGTGCACAGCTCCATCATCTCCAGGGGCCGCCTGTTCACTTTCATGAGGCCACTGCCACGTTTGCAGCCTGCCACCGCTGTGGCCGTCTTCCTCTTCCGTCCAAAGACCTGTATGGACTTCAGCAGGCTCTTGGCCCACATGGCTGTGGGCATAGATGAGAGATCCTCCCCATGCAGCACTGCTACTGGAAAAGCTGGTGTCATATATTTCAATGCAAACATTTTATAGAACATCTAGGGAATACCTTAGAGTTCTTTCTGTTTTCTTTATTGAAATAAAGGCAAAAGTTAGTGGACGCATAACACACAAGGAACCAGCAAGTGATAGATTCCTCTTATTTCCCAATGGCTTGTCTAATGCAATTACTGATTTTGGATAATTCATCTACCATTCATTTATTCATTTCACCCTCAACATAACACACCAAAAAAAAAAAAAAAAAAATCCTAGTAAGTTTCTTTGTCAAGAAACAGGCCAAGCATGGTGGCTCATGCCTGTAATCCCAGCACTTCGGGAGGCCAAGGTGGGCGGATCACCTGAGGTCAGGGGTTCGAGACCAACCTGGCCAACATGGTGAAACCCCATCTCTATTAAAAATGCAAAAATTAGCTGGGCATAGTAGTACACCCCTGTAGTCCCAGTTACTCGGGAGCCTGAGGCAGGAAGATGGCTTGAATCCAGGATGTGGAAGTTGCAGTGAGGTGAGATTATACCACTGCACTCCAGCCTAGGTGACAGAGCAAGACTCTAAATCTCTCAGCATGTTACCTGGAAAGAAGAAAAGCAGAAAGGAAGGAGAATGGAAATAAACCTAAAGACTATGGGTAGTAAATAGCATTTAAGCTGGGACTTTCTCTCATATCATGTCATTTTAAAACCAGTAATTATTCTGCCATTGAAGATACTCCAATTTTATTTGATACAGAGTCTCACTCTTTTGCTTTGCCCAGGCTGGGAGTGCAGCGGCACAATCTCAGCTCACAGCAACCACTGCCTCTGGGGTTCAAGCAATTCCCCTGCCTCATCCTCCCCCTGCCTCAGCTCCCAAGTAGCTGGGACTACAGGTATGTGCCACCATACCTGTGAAAATTTTGTATTTTTAGTAGAAATGGGGTTTTACCATAATGGCCAGTCTGGTCTCTAACTCTTAACCTCAAGTGATTCACCTGCCTCAGCCTCCCAAAGTGCTGCGATTATAGGCGTGAGTCATGCCTGGCCTGTTTTTTTGTTTGCTTTTTTGTTTGTTTGGTTTTTTCCAAGACAGGGTCTCACTGTGTCACCCAGACTGGAGTGCAGTGGCTCAATCACAGCACACTGCAGCCTTGACCTCCCAAGCTCAGGTGATGCTCCCACCTCAGCCTCCGAAGTAGCTAGTGCGGTTTTTTTTTTTTTTTTAAGTTAAAATAATTTTTTGTGGCCATTACTATACCAGTCCCAGAACTCAAGGCTCCTCAAGTCTATGAAGCACAGCTCTGAAAGGAGCTGCTTCAAAGTATTATCTTGCTTCAATTACTTCTGGGATTTAGATTCATTTAGCACAATAAATACAGTATAGATAAGAGAAGACAGAGAGGTGAGAGGAGGGGGAAGCCTGAGATTATGTTGCCAAGATTTTCTTTCTGTAGAAAATGACTATTAAAGAAAGAAGAGTTCATTCTCTTATCCTTTGAAATCTCACAGCTTCATAATCCTCCCCAAACCTGACTTTCCTTTCAACTTGTATTGGAAACTCTCCAGTACTGAAGTCTCTTGTCCAACTCAAATGATAACCTTTCCTATTTTCTTTCCTCTTGCCCACCCTATTATAAATAGATGGCATGGTTTTTGCCTTCATTAAAACTTTTTTTGTAACTAATGTTTATTTTTATCAAAATATTCCATGCAGCTAATCTAGGGGTCGAACAATGCTAAAAAGGCTTAGACCAAAAGCAACAGTTCCACTCCTGCCCCTTCATCACTTCCTGCCACTCAGAGGCAACTACTCAACTTGTTCAATTTATCACTTTGTGGGTATATAGTAAGAGTAGGAAAACAAAATTTATCGTTTTGGACATTTATCTCTGTATTTCTAAGAAATATGTACATGTTATCTCTATTTTGTCACCCAGGCTGGAGTGCAGTGGTTCACTGCAACCTGTACCTCCTAGGTACCAGGAATTCTCCTGCCTCAGCCTCCCAAGTAGTTGGGATTACAGGTGTGCACCACCACATCAGGTCATTTTTAATAGACCCAGGTTTTTACCACGTTGGCCAGGCTGATCTCGAACTCCTGGCCTCAAGTGATCCACCAGCCTCAGCCTTCCAGAGTGCTAGGATTACAAGGCATGAGCCATAGTATTTGGCTAGCACAGCAATTTTTATGTTAGGCAACTGTGAAAAGCTTACACATGTAAACTGACCATCTGATCAAGTTTATTGTTCTTCAAAATTCACATAGGCCCAGCTACTAGGGAGGCTGAGGCAGGAGGACTGCTTGAGCCCGGGAGGTTAAGGTTGTAGCTCAAAATAATTGTGCTTGTGAATGCCCCCTGCACTCCAGCCTGGGCAACACAGCAACAGTGACTTCAGTTTAGTTCAAGTTTGTCCAAACCATTGCCCACTGGCTGCATGCGGCCTAGGCTTTGAATGTGTCCCAACGTGAATTCGTAAACTTTCTTAAAACATTATCAGATTTTTTTTGAGATTTTTTTTTCCTTTGGCTCATCAGCTATCGTTAATATTAGCCTATTTTATATGTGGCCCAAGACCATTCTTCTTCCAATGTGGCCCAGGGAAGCCAAAAGATTGAACACCCCTGATTTACTTATTTCTCAAAGTATAAAAATCTATATAACCAATCCGCCACATACCATTCTCAACGATAAAGTTTTCGGGAGTGCAAATCCAAAGAAGATAATGCATTTACCCAAAGATGAAATCATTATAATACAATCAGTCAGGATTCTAGCACAGAAGAGGCTGAAGCACAGCAGAACCCACTAGGGTATGTATATTATATATCATACATACCACATATAATCTTACACAATTGTGGGAACTGTTTAAGCAATCCCTGTAAAGCTGTTATCTTCACACCTGATCCTAGAGCATAAAGACCTCAGGGAAAGCAGTCAGGAAGTCATAGAGAAAAGCAAATACCTGCTGGAATCCACAAAGGCAAACTATAATTCTGTCAATTCTCTCTACCTTTGACCTTGATGGTATGGCCATCCTGCAGAAGAAGCTGCCTCCTTCAGCACATACCTAGCCTAGAAATAGGAAATGATGGAGAAGGACTGGGTGGGGGTGGTGGGGTGGGAAGATGGAGCCATTTTAGGTACAGCTGCTGGGCCAAGCCAAGGAAGCAAACCAGCAGATAGCAATAACACTAGCCACAAAATGGCTGCTGCCTCGCTCCTGCCCCCAAATCTGCATAAGAATGTCTCCTGTGGCCCAGCCTAACCAGAAACATACCGAGAGGGGATGCTGGGAAATGTAGTTCTGCCTCACCAAGTGGCCACAGTACGTCCCTAAGCCACCATGGTATAGGCCTTCTCAATTTGGCACCTGAGTTTATTTATTTATCTATTTATTATTTATTTAGCTGGGGAATGTCCGGAACCCACTTTATTTGTAAAATGATGAATTAGACCTGACTATATTCTCTGATAATTAGAAGTTTGCAAAGCTGAATAAAGATTTATAGGC